CTGATCACCATTTTGCTTGGTTAACATTTCCACAACTTCCTTATTCTGATCTCTTTTTTTTGGGTCCTATAGGCAGTGAAACAGTATGTTTTCAGTTTGTAGTTTTGAAGTTTTTCACCTTTTAATGAGATTCTAGGCCAGGCATCTCCTTTATTTTCCTCCTTTTGTTTAATTGTGAGGGCTTTTTAAATGTCTTTTCTGCTCCCATCCACAGTGGTCTACATTAGTAATTTAAGTTAGTGTCTAACCATCACTCCCTGCTAGATTATAATTATGAAGATTCAAATAAGCAAGGTCTTGCATATTGATGTGCTGCTTAGAAATGAGAAGAATGTGAAGGGGGAAAAAACCCTCCCACAGGTTCCTGACAATTGAAATAACCCACATACTCACATATATACCCTGGACCACTTCATTAAATTTATGCCTCTGGGAATAAAATGATTGCTGCTGTAGCGAATGAATAGTGTACAAAAGTTTTGTCATTTTTCATATGCTGTCATTCCCATTTCATAGTTTTATGCTTGCCCAAACTGTAGATCTCCCAGTACTTATGAGTACTTATGTGATACTACAGCATTAATCTAGAAGGATGCGTGCTTGTGTGTGGTAGGCTGTCCACTTCCACACACGACATGCTTATCAGATTTGCAGATGACACAAAATTGGGTAGAATAGTTAACACCCTGGAAAATGAAAAAAAATTCAAAAAGATCTTGATAGGCTTGATCACGGGGCCGAAAAGAACAGAATGAAATTTACAGGGGCAAATTCTATATCAAGAGAAAAGAAACCAAATGTACAGGTACAAGATGGGGGATACTTGGCTCAGTAATACTACAAGTGAGAAGAATCTTGAAATTATTGTAGAACACAGGTTGAATATGAGCCAACAGTGCAACGTGACTGCAAAAAAGGCAAATGCAATTTTAAGCTGCATTAACAGAAGCATAGTCTAAAAATCTTGTGAAGTACTAGTTCTCTTCTATTCAGCACTAATTAAGCCTCATCTTGAGTGCCGTGTCTAGTTCTGGCCACCACACTTCAGGAAGAATGCCAGTAAACTGGAACAAGTTCAGAAGAAGGCAACAAGGATGATCAGGGGACTGGAAACCAATACCTGTGAGGAAAGGCTGAAAGAACTGGGGATGTTTAGCTTTGAGAAAAGAAGACTGAGGGGAAGAGATGGTAGTATATGAAAGGTTGTCATCTAGAAGAGGGGCAGGATCTGCTCTCCAGATTGCAGGATCCAGAGTACAGGATATATAACAATGGGCTTGAGTTACAGGAAGCCAGATTTTGACTGAATATCAGGAAAATCTTAACTGTTAGAGCAGTTGACAATGGAACCAATTACCTCAGAAGGTGGTGAGCACTCCAATGCTGGAGGCATTCGAGAGAAAATTGGACAACCATATTTCAGATCTGCTTTGATGTGTATTCTTGCATTGAGCAGGAGGCTGGTCTTGGTGGTCTTATAGGTCACTTCCAAATCTATTATTCTATGATTGCCAGAAAGGGGAAATGGAAGATGAACAACAATAGAAATTTGGATAAAATGGAGATATGTGAATCTGTTGCGTATAGCATTATTCTGATGGAGAGACTCTTTGTCCATGCACACAACCTTCACACAAATAGATTACTTTTGGGAACCATTGCTTCCTATTATTAACTGTTCATATTTGGTTAATCATATTCTTCTTCCTCTTGTGTCTTATTAAATGGAAACATTTCCTCTGTACTTGTTAATTGTTTTACCCTGTTCCCTTTATCAGGTTAACAATATATTTGATTGTTGTTAATACCCTCTTACATGTTTTCTCTGTGTTTTAGAACGTGAATAGAAACATACACATGTGTCTTCACGCATGCACGTATGCCTGCACAAATAAATATGGTCTAGAACAAGCAGCTAATGGAGGAATGCAGCTGCTTAGCTTCTAACCAGAAGTTTGAATATTGTGTGTTGATATTGTGTGTTTTAATTTTGTTTTATATTCGAAATGTAAGCCGCCCAGAGTAAATTCATTGAAACTAGATGGGCTGGGTAAAAGCTGGAAAAATAAAATAAATAAGCAGTTGCTCAGAACATACAAGTTCAATTCTGCCTGATCTACACTGTCAAGCTGCCCCCGCACCCTTTTCACATTTGTAGATGCAAATGTGAAAAGAATGACAATAATTAACCAGAAAGAAAATGCATCTCACCATAATAGGAATGGCAGATTGCATGCTGCCTTTCTAGCTGTGCTTTAAAATACACCTAGATTTTTATCTGTCATTCACTGAATCCCACCTCTATGTATTAAAAGCAAACAGAACTTCTTACGCTTTTTGTTTCCAGTGCTTGAAGCAGGAAACCTGTAGCCAGGTGTTAAATCCTGTCATTGCAAGATATCTCAAACCAGCCCCAGAGTTCCCCTTTTTCATGGATCCATGATAACAATTTCAACATCTCTACCATTAAGCAGAGTTAAGATAGTGACTTCAGATGGGAGATATTGATTGATGGGGAATAGATGAGCGCCATGAAGCCTGCCCTGTTGGCTTCCTCATTCACTTGCCTGGTAGCCGCCTAGAGTGGTCTTAATCGACTAGATAGGCGGGATATAAAACAAACAAACAAAAACAAACAAACAAATAAATAAAATAGTACAGTGGACAAGGCTGCCCCATTAGCAGCACACAAGACTGAGCAATCAGTCTGGTTAGCATTTACACATGGCATGGAGAGAGAGACATTACTATCAAAATGTGTTGTGATGGCCCCGAGAGGCAGCTGATATGAAAACTCTGGAACTAGCCATGTCTGATATAAACATCACCATGACTAACAGTGTATGTTATAGCAGGGTTGGTAACTAGCCCTCCAGGCTTTTTCTGCCAGAAGATCCCATAATCTTTCACTATTGGTTTCACTGAATAACTAATGTTGTCATATCAGTTGGTTGGTCAGATTTTACTCCAGATTTTAGGCATGCCAATCTGTGCTCATTCAGTCCATCAGATGGCTGGGATTCCAAGACTTCAAAAAGCAAGTCTTTAATCCTCATACAAGCTAACAAATAAAGGTCCCAATCTTACTGGTGTTTGTCTAATTTGTTGTGGTGTATTGCAAGTAATTGATGGGGTGCTAGGGCATGTCTGGTCACATATGTGATTGCACAACTGAGTTGCGCCTTGGCACCTTGTGAATTAGTTGTAATTAGCCATGGCAGGTTATATGAACATCAGTGGGATTCTGGCAAATAAAGAACATGCAGTCACTGCTTCAACCAATTGTTTTCTGAGAAATTTCAGTGTGATTAGCCATTGAGTTAAGCCATCACAGTTTGACAGGGATTAAAGATTTAAAAATTAAAGATTAAGCCTCTTCTAAAATTGAAGTTTTGGGGAAGCCTGGCCCTGGCTGCTTTGCAGATAGCTGAAATCTATTTTGTAGGTCAAACAATGCACAGATAGCAATGCAGCAGCAGGAATGAAGGCAGGGCAGGGCACCAAGAATAAATACTCATACAAAGAAGGATAAAAGTACTTCATACTTCAATTTTAGCATATACAGCTCCACTGTCTTTGCTGCAAAGGAGTTGACATGGCAATATTAGGCAACCTCACTTTACTGGATTGTGTGATAGTAGAAAACTGCAGTCCCACAAGGAATTTGCCCAGGCTTTGCTGTTATGCAATTTACTGGGCTGCCGGGGGAGAACCATTTTGTATAGGTTTCTTGGAAGTTAAGTGAATCTGAGATTTTTGGAAAGAGGCTCCTTTTCACAGGACTGATGTGTACATTTGGAATTGTTTTGGGAGTATGGCATGGTCCTTTGAACTGCTTGCTCATACTTGAATTCGGGTCACTCTGTTCTAATCCAGCATTCTACCCATTAAACCATACTTGTTCTCTCAGATCAGTGGTTGGTATATAAACTGTGCCAATGCTGAAACATATTGGTAGAAAGACAATACATTAATTAGCGCAATAAATTCACACAATGTGCAAATTGTATAATATGCAGACAAGGTAATTTGCATAATATGCAAAATAGGTTGGCTGGATTTGAAGAACAAGAATTTGGCAGTCTTATGAACTGTGCTTCTGGAAAGTTGCAAGCTCAAAATAGCCCAGTGACTTAGGCATCTGGCTGCAAAACTAGAGGTTGGGAACTGAATTCCCCACTGTGCCTCCTTGACCCGACTGGACCTGATGACCCATAGGGTCCTTTTAAGCTCCACAGTTCTAAGATGGTGATGATGATGATTAAAATAGGTACAGAGGTGCCAGGACCCAGATCTGAACTTCCTCCAGAAGTATTTTGTCTTTTTGAATTTCCAGTTTTAGGCTACATAGTATATTCTCTTTTTTTAAAAAAAAGGTTGAGTGGGTGAAATGACTAAATATATTTCAGGAACAAATAAGAGCTGTGCATTTGGATGAGACCCTGTGATGATCCTGAAGCTTTGTGATACTTGTCATTTTCATTCCCCTTAGGTACAAATGCATTTGTCCAATTGAGAAGATAAACTTTCTATTGTCTTCCAACTAATGCAGTGTTCACTCCTGCCTGCAGCATATTCCTTCCAGCAGCTATAAGGAAAAGGGAGGAAGTAGCAGCTGTGAATCAATGACTCTAGTTCTGATTTCCTGCTGCAGCAACTTGGCTACTTGTCTGCAGTTAACTGTTAATTTATTAGATGGTGGTGTTCAAAATGTATACTGTATATAAGCCACGTATGCTGCAGTAAAGAACCTTTTAGTATACATTGGAATGCTGGAAGAAACCTCTGGTTTCCCATCGTTGTGTTTCTACTGACAGAGCAGTCACTTCCTTTTCTGCTGAAAAAAGGATGGTGGGCAGATACTTGATTTTTTGGTCACATAAGGGGCCACAGATTCTTCAAAGTAGTCATTGAGAGACATGTAGGAAACGTCCCTGCATTTTGTTCAGCTGTACTGTAATCCGGCTTAACCGTGTCTCCTTTCTTGTCTCCCTACACAGGATATTTGTGGTGGGAATCGGATTTTTCACTCTCTGCTTTTTAATGACATCACTGGGAGGTCAGTTTTCAGCCAAACGACTGGGAGACTCGCCGTTCACCATCAGGACAGAAGGTAACGCCATGGTCTCATTTAACTAGATTTTCCGTTTAGACGAGAGCCTTTGCCTTTAAGTCACTCACTTGTACCGCCAGGCTAGTAAAGGGGACAAAGCTTGGAAATGTTCTGTTTTTGGACTACAACTCCCAGAATCCCTTGGACCATGTTGGGGGAGCGAGGTTTGTCCAGGAATTGTAGTCCAAAGAAGTACTGTCTTCAAGCTCTGAATGGAAGAGTGACTTGGCGAGGAAGCCAGAATCCCTTGGACCATGTTGGGGGGTGAGGTTTGTCCAGGAATTGTAGTCCAAAGAAGTACTGTCTTCAAGCTCTGAATGGAAGAGTGACTTGGCGAGGAAGGGCAGCCTGCTGTTGCTGTTGAGAAGTAAACAAAGGAAGGGTGTTCCACCATCCTTACTGCCAGGTGTCCAATGGAGATGATGTTCAAGGCAGGAAGAAGCTGGGATGACGTCATAGGGCTGCAGGGAGCTGAGGAGCCAGCTGCATTTTCTACTGCTGCAGATATTAGCAGTGCTCTACACATGCAGAAAAGTGCATCCTGATGTCTTGTACCAGATAGATGGCACAGGAAATAATAAGGCTTTGTATGGGGCTGCTGCTGCTGCTTGGGAGAACGGCTGCGATGGATGGATCTCCCGAATTGCCTTTTCCTCCCTTAAGTGTCAGGCATGAAGCTGCCCACAGAGCCAGAGTAACAGCATTGCCTGTGCTGCAGTCATAAGCATTTGCCAAACTTAAGCCAGATTGCAGTAGAAGAAGTTTTTTCTTTTTAATTAATTCAGGTGTCTGCTTCCTTTAAAAATTGCTGGTTTTAATTGCCTTTAATGATGGTAGATGTTAAAGGCCAGGATCCTATTGAAACCTTACCCTGGCATGAGTGAAACCATGTCAGGTGCGGTGGCAGATTCAAGCTAATTAATAAGATGTTAGTCTCATGCCAGACATGGAACCGGACACACGGTTAGGCACACAGCTGATGCGCCCTTGTTACGTACCTGAAATCTGCCATTTCGACCAATGTGACTTTATTCACTGGGGAGTAAAATCCCAGCAAGATTATGGCCTGCCTGTTCTATATTTTGAGTTTGTATTTGTTTTACTCATGTTATTGTTAGCCATCTTGGGACCCATTCTTTCCGGAAGAAATGCAGAAGAGAAATCAAGTCAATAAATATACAATAAACCCACAGCTGCTAGTGAAATACAGTAGCCATAGTTGTTTCCTGTGGCACCCAGCCCTGCCATTGAATGCTGTCATTGTTGCTGCCCCTTCTTTGAGGAAGTGTTTTCAATGCGCCCTCTACTTTCACAGCCATTATTTGATCTGTCTGCCCAACAGCCGTGTTGAGACGGCATCTCAGGGAACAGAGCCTGGAAAAAAAAGAGAAAAGTAAATTCCTTTCCCATGAATTTTCATTTTATATGGTTTCCACCCTTCCTCTCATTAGAATTAGGTGGTTGTAACCACCCTACACCTTGTCCTGGCATCCCCCAGGATTGTTTAGGTAAAGCATGACAATGGCCACCATGTAACCTTACACTTGCCTCCCTCCCTCTGGCAGTGGAGCAGGGATGAGGAGACCAGATCTCCTGTAATTAAAACATTTTTGGCCTGCCTTTCCAAACCAATTAGCTTTCAAGGAAGTTTAACATTCATTTTGAATAAGGCAAAAATACATAATAAAACCCAGCTTAAAATAATGTAAAAGTCCTAATTCTGGCAGATAAGCCATTAAAATAATAATAAGGAAATTCACACTGTTTGATCACTAAGAAAATGGGACAGTTTTTAGCTCCGGGCTTAAAATGTCAGCAACAGGCAAATGTGCCTGCAGAGAAAAATTGATAATTAAAGTAGATCTTAGGTAGTCCCTCCACTTAACGTCTTTTTATTTTTTTAAAAAAAGTCAGTTCCAGAAGCAAGTTAAAACCACCAGATATAATTTCAGCAAACTGATTTGTATGGAAAGAGGAAGTCAGTACTTAAAAAAATTAAGCAAATATTTCTGATGCAATCAGTAATGCATTTGTGATAGCAAGTGGTCTCAGCTTAAGTGAAACAAATCAACTAACAGCTGAGCTGTGTGTGTTTTGGATAGTCAAGTAATAAGTGGCAGAACTCTTTCCTTTTGTAAACACAACTAAAAAAGTGAACCAAGGGAGTGGCTAGATGGGTATTTGTGCCGTTTCTCACTGTTCCACTAAATATTTGCATCACGAACTACACAATGCTGGCACTAATTGCTACAAGATCCAGTCTTTTGGCACGAGAGTCTGCAATACCCTATTTCTTTGGCCTGCCTTCTGCAACACAATTTGTAAATTTTATTTCTTAAAATATACTTTCTTCTAGTTCAGCACTATAACCTAAAATGATACAGCATAGATTCAAATGATTGCCACATCTAGTTAGTTTGGTTCAGTGCTGTTTTATTTGCTAGACATACTGTAACAGGAAAAGACAAACAATTTGAATGTGGGTGAAAGGTATGGGAACAGGATGATGACAGTGATAGAGAAGGAGAGGGAAGTGGAAGGTTGTGTGATATGTGGACCCATGGAGCACACCTTCCAAGGCAAATTAAACATTTCTCTGTGTGTGAATGAGGCACAACAATTTAAATGCTAGCGTGTGGTATAGAGAGATTGCCATCAGCTTGGGACAAACTCTTGTGTGGTCACAGCCTAAGTCAGAAAAGGAGAAGAGCAATGGAGGGGGGGGGAGAGACACACTACCCCTGTTGAAGGAAGCAGCTGTCTCCTAACTCTTCCAGGTTCAAATACAAAGTACCTTTGATGGCTTCTGTTTGGTAGAAGATAAATCTCTAATAGGTGACTTTGTTTCTGAGGGAGAAGAAAATAGATCTGGAATGATAATTCAGCAGTTTGTGTTGCTGCAGGAAGAGAGAGGCAACCCTACAAGGGGATGTTGAAGGACCCCTGGGTGTGAGGATCGTACCTGTGTGACTACTGGGGATGTGCATGGGGGAAGCCTTTCAGACTTCATTTATTCCGCGCCTTTGGCGGAATGTGTGCCCTGCTTGTTTTCAAAGCTTTCAGGTACTGGTCCTGTCACTAAACATGAAAGCAATCGGCTCTTTCAGGTTCTTCCAGGTTTCCCTGTTCCGGTTCTAAACAGCCCTAAACAACCCTTCTTCATCTACTCTAAAAAAGCAGGGGCAAAGCGAAGTCAATTCAAAAGCCCTAAAGAACCCTTTAAAATGACTTTAAAAAAAGCAGGGGCAAGACGGGCATTCTGCAATGATTACCGTACCACAATAATGTGCACACGCACGCACGCACGCACGCACGCGCACACACACAGAGAGAAAGGGAAAAGGCAAAATAACATATACACACATTATACACACATTGCTCCCTCTTCCAAAAAGCAAGAAAAGCAAGGAAGCAAATAGGAAAAGGCAAAATAACATATACACACATTGTTCCCTCTTCCAAAAAGCAAGAAAAGCAAGGAAGCAAATAAAGGGAAAAAATGCAGTTAAAGCTCCCCCCCCCCAAACCAAAATGAGTAGAATGGGAGCAAATTTCTCTTTCCACTACAACTTGATGACTTTTCATCCTTGGGTCCACCAACAGCAGGCAGCAGCAGGCAGTAAAAATAATTCAGGAAAGGCAAAGAGAAGGAATATGGGTGAATTTAAGGAAAAAGAAACACGGGGTAAGGGAGAAGGCAAAATGGATCCACAGGCACAAATGGACAGTACAGTCAAGACAGAGGGCACTATGGAGCTAAACAGCATGCTGATCCTACCCACAAGAAAAATCTGAGTGAAAAGAAATTCTTAGTTGGGTTCCACAACCAATCCAGCTTCTTCCACAGCTCAAAATTACCTCTCCCCTGCCGGTACATTCCGATTGGCTGCAAATAGGAGCCATCATGATGCATTTTGGTAAAACATTTCCTTGCTGAAACGGCAGGCAAGAGGTGAACGAAAGGGGGAAAGCATGAAAGAATCGGAAGCTTTTGTCTACCTCTTTCATTAAAATAAAAAGCATTCTGGTTTAAGAGTTTCTCCTTTAAAATTAAATGAAAGGTTCTGGAAAACAAAGTAAGATCCTCTTTCATATCCCCATCCCCATGTGGGTTAACAAAATGGCGTAGAGGGGGCTGAAAAGAAATATTGAAGTTCCATTTCAAGAGATGGCGGTGTGCAGGAGTGGGAAATGCAATTTCTGCTCTCCTCGGCTCCTGCTGTCTTTTTTTTAAAAGGCACATTTTCAAAGATAAAATTGCCTGGAAGCCACATGAATGCTGGTTTTAAATAGGTCATGGTGGAAGGTTCTTTATGCCCTGCAATTGGGCTCAGGAAGAATACAGCTGCTGTCTGTGGTTATTATATATCTAAGCATTGCTACTGAGTGGGAGGCCACTGCTGCTGTTTTTCCTCCTCCTTCTGTAATCATAATCATAATCGTATTAGCTCTGTCACTTTGCTACCTATTACTATGTAACAGCTATCAGCCTTTCAGATGCCTTTGTTCTTGAAAACAATATGCTGCCTTTGAGCAACATGATTAAACTAGATGACTTGTCCTAGACACTAAATGAGGGGTGGCGAATCTTAAACTGTCCAGTTGTTTTGAAGAACAACTCCCATAATCCCTTACCGTTAGCTGTGCTGGGTGGAGCTGATGGAGGGCCAAAGGTTCAGTAGGACTGCACGGAATGCTGAGTAGATTATTACACCACATGCTTACAGTTAACATTGCGTGTAAACACGGTCTTCCCGTTGGTGAACAAAATGTGATACTGTAACCTGGCAAGAAAATGACCCAGTTACCGCTATGCGAAAGCCTCTTTAGCAGCAATGGGGGGGGGGCTTGCGGAATGGAGGAGAGCCCCTCTTAAAACTTCAAAGTGCAATCACTCTCCTACCATGTTCACCCAACTTTTGTTTTGGATGCCAACATTAGATTTTTGGTGGAACATACCTTGATGAGATGAGAGTAGGGTAGTGTTGACAGCTGTTCCT